GGATGACAGTTTTGTTTGTTTTCCAGCTGAATATTTTGTTGTTTAGTTTTTGAGACAGGGTTTTGCTGTGTAACTGCCTTAGTTGTCCTGGAACTTGCTTTGTAAACCAGTCTGGCCTTGAATTTAAAAATGTGCTTGCTCTTGCCCACCCCACCCCGACCCCCTTGCTGGGATTAAAGGTGTGCCCACCACTCCCGGCCTTCGGCCTTCAGTTGAATCTTACCTAGGCTGACTTGTGAGTCCTGATCCTCTTGCCTCAGCCTCCTGAGTAGTTAGAATTACAGGTGCAAACCACTGCACCCAGCTGTGGCGGGGGTGTGGGGGTTGTGTTTGTTTGCTTAGTTTTGTTTGTTTTTGTTTTAAACAAATATTTATTTGGGGCTGGGTGTGGTGGTACCTGTCTTTAATCCCAGAATTTGGGGGCAGAGGCAGGTGGATAACAGAGTTTGAGGCCCCACCTACATAGCAAGTTTCAGGATGTAGAGAAACCTTGTTTCAAAAAATAAAACAAATAAACAAATATTTTTATTTATATAAGTTTCTCACTGAACCTGAAGCTTGCTAATTTTGGCAAGACAAGCTGCCTCAGGCATCCTCCTACCCAGCTGGGATTTCAGGTGTGCACCTCCACACCTGGCTTTTACTTGAGTTTTGGGGAACTCAGGTCAGCATGCTATGAGACAAGCTCCTTATTGACTGAGCCATCTCCTCCGCCCTTGCACAATAATCTCTCTCTCTCTCTCTCTCTCTCTCTCTCTCTCCCCCTCCCTCCCTCCCTTCCTCCTTTTTCTTCCTTTCTTCTTTCTTTCCTTCCTTCTTTTCTTTCCCTCCCTCCCTCCCTCCCTCTTTCTTTCTTTCTTTCTTTCTTTCTTTCTTTCTTTCTTTCTTTCTTTCTTTCTTTCTTTCTTTCTTTCTTTCTTTCTTTCTTTCTTTCAAGACACAGGGTTTCTCTGTGTAACAGCTCTGGCTGTTCTGGAACTCACTCTGTAGACCAGGCTGGCCTCAAACTCACAGAGACTGGCTTGCCTCTGCCTCCCGAGTGCTGGGATTAAAGGTGAGCGCCACCACCGCCCAGCACTCAATAATTTTTTAAACCTGACAAGGGACAGTGGGCATCATCTCCTAGAGGTTTGTGTGATGCGCACAGGCTAGGACTCCCCCAGCACCCACCCCCTCATTGCTTGCTTTTCTCCTCTTCCTGTCTGGGAATAAGAACATTTCCCTGGGTGTTTGTTTTGCTTTGACTCTTCACTGCGTTTGGGAAGAAGTTGCTTTCCTGTTTAGTTTTGTAAATAAAGTAGTGCATTATTCTTGATTTTTTTTTTGTCTGATTTTGAACCTTGAATGAGAAACAATATATACTGTGGAGGTCAGGAAGACTGTTCTTGGCACACCATTGTGGAGGTTGGGGTCCCACCGGCATAACGAGGTAACAAGCTTATTAAGATAAGGGACTTATTCCTAAAAAGTCTAATATTTTTTTGAGACAGGGTCTCATGTATCTCCTGTTGAAACTCACTCTGTAACTGGGCTGGCCTTGGACTCACAGAGATCCTCCTGCCTCTGCCTCCCTAGTGCTAGGATCAAAGGTGTGTGCTGTTTTTAATTAAGTTCGATTTTACCAATATAGTGCATAGTGTCTGGAGCCAGATGCTAGGGGGATACCTGCTCCAGATGCTAGGGGGATACCTGCTAGCTCAGAAAGAAGCCAGCTGACCATCATGTCAGGCTGTGTGTGGCTTTTCTAAGTGTGGTTGGGGATCCAGACTGAGGTCGTGTTTGCTTAGCAAGCACTTTACAGACTGAGCTACCTCCCCGGCCCCTGAGCAGAGCACTTGGGAGGTAGAAACCTGAGTGTCTAGGAGTTCAAGGTCATCTCCTGCTGTAAAGTGAGTTGAGGTCAGCCTCGGTGCCAAGGGAACCAGTCTAAGGAAAGAAAAGCTTCCTGGCCTCTAAGCCCCTTCCCTACCACAGGCTCAATGAGTTTCTGGGACTTTAGTGACCCTCAACCCAGCAGGGTGCTACCACCCTGTCTGAGACTATTTCTGCAACTGAGCCTATTGTTAAGTTCCCCTAGGGCAATGGTGAGAACCACTTCCTAATCCTGTGACCCTTTAATACAGTTCCTCTTGTCATGGTGACCCCCAGCCATAATTTTTTTTTTTTTTTTTTTTTTTTTTGCAGCTTCATAACTGTCATTGTCTGATATGCAACCCCCAGAGGGGTCGAGACCCACAGGCTGAGAGCTGCTGCCCAGGGAAAGAAAGCAGATTCTGTTAGGAAGGATGTGCTGGGCCCACCTGGCAGCCCGAGGGTGAGGAGAGAGCCTGGCAGAGAGGAAGTAGCAGCCTGGGCAGAGGAGGGACAGATAAGCTACTTGCAGTGACTGAGCTGGCCCTTATGGTGTCTTGTAAGTCACAATAAAGGATGGGAAATCACAGGGGCTGAGGTGACTATGGTTTGTTTAAATGAGCCTAAAGTTTTCAAGATGTTTCCAGAAGAAGGCTGTCATTTCTAAGTCCTGCAGTGTTGTCCTTCAGGGACAAGCAAGAGATGGCAGGTGACAGGTGTTTGGGGCATGCTTATGGGTAAGGACGGGGACAATTCCTTAACACTTTGGTTCCAGAAGGGCAAGCTACTCTTGCACATGGGTGACTTCATTACGTCCCGTAGTTCAGTCCTGGGACATGCTCGCCTCCTTGTCCCTGTGCAGACCCCTAAGCAAAGAGCTGCTGGAGGAGCCCAGGCTAGCCCATTGTGCTCCTCTCTAGCTGACGACGTGGCAGGAGCCATGCAGGTGTGCTGTGAGCACACAGCACTGCCTGTCCAGCCAGGGCCTCTGGGCCACCTGAGGGTTGTAGGGACGGTTTCCACTCTAACGTGACCCTACTCCAGGACAGGTCTTTGTGTTCATCCCGTCAGCTAGAACCGCCTATGCTGAAGAGCACCTGCCGTGGCTAGAATGTCAGTGCCTCTCACCTCGTAAGGGAAATGCTGCCTAGTGGAGGCAGTGGGCCTTGTGCCTGGAGCAGCTGCCACGAGGGGCTGAGCAGGGGTGATCATCTACCTCCGTGTCGAGGTGTGATCTGCCTGTGCACTGGGCACACGTTCGGCTGTGTAACAGGCGTGTCAGGACCATGCTGGGTCTCTAGGTGGGTCAGTTGTTTCTAGGCCACTGTCACACCCAATGACAGGGCAGCTCTGTGAATCATCCCTCTGTGTCAGTGCAGGCAGCTCGGTCCAGAGTCTCCACTCACCACCTGGTGCTGGGCATGTCCGTGGGAATCCAGGAAGATTTCACTTGGAAAACCTGGCATCATGAGTCCTGGTGTCATGGGGTCATGACCTTGTCACCCAACCGAGTTTGAGAGCCTGTGGCGCTGACCCCATGGGACCCCAGAAGGTGAACATTACCCTTTGCTCCGAGCTCATTGGGTCTTTCTGCGGTTTGTTCTCGACATGAAGTGCAGATTCTAGTGTCTCTGACGTGATGTGAAGAGTGGCTGGGTAGGGGACGTGTCAGATGAGCCTCTTAGATATTGTAAGCAAACACAGGTTTGGGTTTAGCAGGTGTGGCTTTATCAGAGTTAAATCTGAGAGCAGACAGACATATCTGAGTACTTAGTCAGAACTCCAGTCGAGCCGTGGAGGTTGTATTAATATCTGTGATAGAATCGTGGAACGTAGGAGCCATGCGGAGGAAGGATTTGGCTAGACCATCACAATGAAAACAGCCAACATGCTAGGCTGTTTGGTCTTCTGGTTCTGTCACTGTGTAGCTCAGGCTGGCCTCAAACTCACGATCCTCCTGCCTCAGCTTCCCAAGTGCTGGGATGTCAGCCATGCTCTATCACACCTAAACTGACAGCTCTTTTTGGGCCACAGGGTGTGGTCTGCCTTCAGATACCTAAAGCGGGGTTGAGAGTGACATCAGGTCTGTTTGCATGAGGGATGGTCACACCTAGTGTGGAGGGCTCTGCAGGATGGACACCTGAGAGGTCGTGACTTTGTGTCACAAGGTTACTGTCTATTTCAATTCCCAGAGAAAGCATTGGCGAGCTGCCCTCCTCAAGCCTGAGGTTAGCACCCCAAGTCTGGTCCTACAGGACTTTCTCTTTCCCTGGGCCAGTTTGATGGTAGCTTTCATCTTGTCTGACACCGTTCTTGGCCTGTTAAAGGTTCAGGTGTGCAGGTTCCCCTGCAGTCCTAACCATCATCCTCTTCCTGGGTTTAAGGTCGACGGGACCCATGCCTTTCCAGACCTGGCTGCTTCTTGTCACAGGGCATGCAGTAGGGAGAGAGGAAGGTGAAGATGGACAACAGATGCATGACGTTCCCACACATTCCTTGTCCCCTGCCACTAATTTCTGTGAAGTTTCCAGAAGGCTGATATAAGGCTGTATCTTCAGGTTTTTCATAGTTCATCCTCGTGGGGGAGGGATCACACTAGCCCTGTCTAGAAGAGAGAGCATCTGAACTCACCAGGCCTGGAAAACCCTGAGGCAGAGGAGGTTGCTACTGGGGCAGCATGTCACACTGACCAGTGAGATCCTGTCCCTGGCCAGGGGGAATCCATTGTTGTTCTCAGGAACAACAAAGTGGGGTCTGGCCAGGGTTGCCAGGAAGTCATGTGTGGGTCTTCTCTGAGCGTGGCTGTGGGGAGCAGTAATGTCTCTGGGACTTGGTGTGCACAATGAGCCGGCGGTGGTACCCAGAACATGCACTGCTGTTGCTCCACTGGGTGTGTTTGTAGCCTGGAGAAAATTCAGGCTGGGCTCACTGCCGCCAGGTATGGACTCCCTCACTCAGGTCCAAGGTGTGGTGTGGCCCAGTGAAGGACGTGTCTGCCTGGACTGGAGCTCTGCGGCACCCCACTGATGCTGCCTTTAGCCTTTCTGAGGGAAGGAATGTGCTAGCCAAGGAAGATTTCTAGTTGGCTGTTCAACTACAATTAAATCTCAGCACTGACTTGGTTTTTGCCTCCCCTCCTTTCCGTCAAGGTTGGCCTGCGACAGCTGGACATGTCCTTGCTCTGCCAACTGTACAGCCTCTACGAGTCCATTCAGGAGTACAAGGGAGCGTGCCAGGCAGCCTCCAGCCTGGACTGCACCTATGCTCTGGAGAACGGCTTCTTTGATGATGAGGAGGACTTCCAGGAGCAGGGCTCGCTCCGAGAAGGCCAGGGCCGAGGCCCTCCCCGGGACTTGTCACTGCCTGTGAGCCACCTCTCCAGCAGCGACTGGATTCTGGAGTCTCTCTAGCACCCCTGGAGCCCATCAACACAGACAGACTGGCAGCATCTGTTTCTCTTCTTGCAAGAAAGCACGTTAGCCTCTCCATGGTGGATGGTTCATGGGTACGTGGGGACTAGTGCCTCCAGTCTAACGTGTGGATAGGAGTTTGTTGACAAGTGGGACAGCCTCCTCAGTTGGCTGCAGGGTCTTCCTGGTGACCTAGAGGCCTGTTAGCATATCCCTGGCCCCCTGAGTGGCACCTGCTGGAGGCTGTGACTGAAGGGTTCCATGTGGAAAGCCTTCATGGGCCTTCTGGGGGAGCTTGCTCTCAGCCAGCTTCTTTGTAGGTGGCAGGCGTGTTGTACCCCCTTTGTTTAAGAATGCCGCGCTGGTGAGATGTGGAAACCATTTCCCCGCCCAGAGCCCCCAGGGTGGTCCTCATCTTTTCTCGCTGTCACTGAGCTGTTAGCTTCTTTGCTCAGATTTCTTTGAAAGTTGTGTCACTGAGTCGTGAGAGCTTTCTGGAAGGAGGAAATATTCTGCCACTCTGGTCACTTTTCTGCAACTACCAAAACTGACATCCGGCAAAGGTAGAGGGGAAAAACTTGAACGAATACACCCTGAATGGAGAGAGAAAACCTGGGACACCATGAGTGACGGTTGACGGCTACGACTGTAGACTGCCGTGCTGGAAAGCAGTCCTTCCAAGCCTTAATCTATTTATTAAAACTCTTTCACAAGAGCGTCACACTGTGGGTTAAACATGGATAGAGTGCGTAAGTGTCTCTTGCCGTGTGTCGTTTTGTTTGGGTGTCTGAGGATGTGGCTCAGTGGGTCCGGTGAGCCCCTAGCATATGTGAGGCCTGGGATTTGACCTTAGTATCATGTCAGCTGGGCAAGGTGGTATGTGCCTGTAACCCTAGGACTGAGGTGGAGGCAGGAGGATTACAAGTTCAAGGTCAACTTGGCAATACAGAGTTCAGGGCCACTTTGGGCTACCCTTTCTCAAACAAAACAAAAATCATATTCTGAGTTCAAAACCTGCAGGTGAGTCCAATACAACACATATTGAAAGAAAGTTAAGACTTTTTTGGCCACTAAGTGAATTTTAGGAGGTAGATTTATTTCTCTGTTAAGCTTGGACAGTTGTCTCATTGGTACCGGACCACATCTACACCAAGATTTCACCTGGTTTATCGGAGCATGCCAGGTTCCTTCCTCCTCTTTTGGTGAGAAGTCTGCTCACCAGTGCCCTCTGTAGTCCAGCAAGGGAAGTGCAATTTAACAAGTGAGTTAACAGGGCACCAGCGACAAAGCAAAGGATTACACAAAAGTCCACCTTGGCAAACCGACAAGCTTGTTGATGTTACTCACTGGCCTGTATGATCCCCAGACAGCTACATCATCACAAAGTCCCTCTCCAGGATGGTCGATGAGCTTCCCGTAGCTGTGCAGAGGACGGTCCTCTTTCCCCACGCCGTCCCAGCAGCTAACTCACACTCTACCCTTTCACCTCCAAGACCAGACCAGGAGACCAGATGTGACAGCTGTTCCCATCAAGATGACAGTGGCTGTTGTGCTTGGAGGACCCTGTGCTGGTTACTTTGTCAACACAAGCTTGAGTCATCTGGGAAGAGGGACTGTCAGTCAGGGTATTTTCTCCATCAGACTGGCCTGTAGGCATTACCTGGGATGTTTCCTGATTGATGATTGGCGTGGGAGGGCCCAGCCTACTGTGAGCGGTGCTGCCCTGGGCAGGTGGTTCTGAATAGGAAGGTAGTTGATTAAGTCAGAGGGGTCAAGCCAGTAAGCAGCCTTCTTCTACAGTCTGTGCTTGCCCTGATGATGAACTAGTAAGTGTAAGAAGAAATAAACCCTTTCCTCTCCCAAGATGTTTTTGGTCAGGGTTTTACCATAGCAACAGAAAGTCAACCAAGACAAGCTGCATTTAGTTACACAACAACCCACGCATTAGCCTGTCTATGCCGAGGGACTATTAGAGGAAGACAAGTGTCCCTGCTCAGCGTCTCTGCTGGCAGTAGTCAAAGGGAAGGGGTGTGTGTCTGTGAGTGCCACCAGCCTGTGACAGTGGTTCAGACAGGACGAGAAGTTGAAAGCAGAAAATTTAGTCACCTGTGAGGCTAAGTCCTGCTTAGCTATAAGATAGAGCCTAGGTCGGCTACTCTCAGTCCTGACTGCATTAAGGTCACGTGGAGAGCGTTGGGAAGAGCTTCAGAAGCAGTCAGTGCCCCACTCCAAATCTGGATCTTAGATGCTGGGGGGTCCGAGCCCGCTAGCAGATGGGAGTCATAGATCAGGAAAGGCGCGTTCCACCACGCGCCTCTCTACTGTAAACCACCTTCATTCCTCAAAAATTACCTACAGCTGCCTTTTAAAAACTCACAACACAATAAAACTGCTTTTTACTGCTTTTTCTTAAGTGGGTTTACAAGTCAGGGCAGATGAAATGAAGCCGGGCTTTGGAGATGGCCACACTGGGGAAGACAAGGCATACTGTCTGTTTTGGGATGCATAAGGCAGTTCTGACCTTGAGAGAGAGAGAGAGAACACTACAGAGCAGACACTCTGCCTGGTTCCTGCTACCTGTGTCCTGGGAAGCACAGGGAGCCGCTGCAGTGGAATCCTTCATCTGTTTTCTTGTTTGGGATTTCGAGCAAGGTCTCACTGTCGCCCAGGATGGCCTGAGACTCCAGGCACTCCTCCTGCCTCAGCTGTCTAAATGTGGAGACTTTGAGACTTGTATCCATCTGCCCCTTGGTCAGAATGGAATACACTCCACACGCTGGCCTCAAGGCTCACTGGCTGAGGTAGCAGAGCTTTGTGCATTGCCCTCACACACCCAGGGGAGAGCCCTGCTCGCCTTGGCAGTGAGCAGCGATGCCCTGGTGGATGGGCACAGCAGTCACCTGGGGTTTTGCAGCAGGTGGAAAACTCTTCCCAAAGTCGTCTGAAGGTAGAACCTCAGGAGTTTGGCTCTGAAGCACGCCTGGAGAGGGCCTTGAGAGAACTGATCAGTAACCTTGAAATGGAATCACCTTGTATTACCTAGGTGGGTCATGAGGGAACGTGACTGGATGGAGATTAGAGAGATGCTGGCCAGTTATAAGCCAAGGAGGATGCAGAGTCTCTACAGCAGTGTGTTCCCCTTAGCACCTCCAGAGGGTGCACAGCCCAGGTAGGGGCACATAGAAACTTATGAAACTGCCTGCCTGCATTCCTTATGCAAGAAGAATAAGCATGTCCTAAGTCTCCTAGCTGCAGGCACCTGGTAGACTCCTGGGCACCTCCATGTTCTCTGATAGCTCATCACCAGAGAGCCAACATTACTCAACCCAACACTGGACTTAACACTGTCCTCGCCTTCCACACTGAAAACACTTCCTCATCTACTCTCGAGAGCCAACGAAATCAACAGGTTTCTTCTGGTCATTATTAGGAATTAGTAAGATGCAACTGTTAGGCCCTTAAAACTGCCTGCCACAACCCAGTAGGACATGCAGGCACTTATTAAATGGGAGTAAGCAGGTGGGGTCCATTTCACGCCCCAGGTTCTGGCTTCCCTGTTCTTTGTTGACGCTTCAGAAGCCAGTATTTAGTTTGAAGCTAGAAATACTTTCCTTCACAGGATTTTCTTACTCTGTAGTGAAGGCTGTGGGTAGGCATGGGCCAGACTGGTGCAGCTGTCAAGGGTCCCAGCAACATGTTCACTTCCTTTCATCACTGCCTCCCTCGGAGACACTCAAGCTGCAACCTGGTCTAGTCACCCGAGTCCTCTACGGATCAAAACTCCTCGTCTCCCTTTCCTGCACTATATTTGAGGAATGGTAAATTGTTCTTTCTTACCAATACAGACCCTCCCCAGAGACCGCCACTAGGCGACAGATAGGTCCATCAGACCAAGAACAATGGGCACTTGATCTTGTCATTGCTCTGGTGTGACCCTATGCATGCCCATTAGCCATTTTGTGGTTTCAACATCTTTAAGCTTTCTGACTAATGCAGCCTTGCAAGTATTTAAAAATATCCTTTTGTGGGCTCCCGTGTACGATGCTATCTCCAGACACTGTAACGAAGAGCACCTGTCCCATGGCTGCACCGTCTGCAGCGCTCTTATGAGCAACGTGGTCTCGGCATTGAAAACAAGAGCTAGCTGGGGGCTCTGCCACAGCTTACGCTTTCTCCCTCTGAGACAGGGTCATTCTATGTGGACCAGGCTTACTTTAAACTTTCCATCCTCCTGCTTCAGCCTCCAGAGTGCTAGGATTGAGGGAGCGCAACACCTGGCTTCAGCTGTTTATCACTGTAGTCACGAGGCAGATCTTCCAGGAGGGAACATGCCCCCCCGGACCCCCTTTTCAATCCATATTTAGTGTGTTAACACCTTGCAGAAGAAGCTGGTTTTTTCCTTTCAGCACGTGGGTCTTGAGACTCTAACTTAGATGGCCAGGCTCTGCGGCAGGTCCTTTATCCTCTGAGCCAGCTCACCAATGTTTGAATAAACCATGTGCAAGCCCCTGTACCCAACCCAGGTCTGGAAACACAAAAACCAAAACCAACCACACAAAGAGAAGGTTGGAGCAAAATGAAGCTCACAGCTGCAGTCTAGAGACAGGCATGCATTCTTACTAAGACCCTGCAACATATTTGTCTTTCAAGGTTTTCATTAAAAATGCTGAAAAATGCTGGGGATGTTAGCTGACTGCGTAGACATGGTTTGAGTGTAGGGAAAGTCCCTCTCACACGCCACTCCACTGGTAGCTGACTGGTCTCAGTATTTTTTGTTCTTAAGTAACGGGACAATACTGAGCAGACTGCTCTGACCCCTTTGGTTGGCCGCAGGATCTCACACATGCTAAGCCAAGGGTCTAGCACTAAGCTACATCCCAGTCCTTTCTATTCTGAGGCAGGGTCTTGCTAAGCTGCTTGAACTGACCCTGACCTCATTGTGGCGTCCAAACTGGCCTGGAACTTACTCTCTTGCCTCAGCCTGGAGTAGAGGGGATTACACGGTGTACCATCACACTGGCTCTAATTCAGTTTTTTTTTTTTTTTTTTAATAGTTATTTATTCTGTATACAATATTCTGTCTGTGTGTACGCCTGCAGGCCAGAAGAGGGCACCAGACCTCATTACAGATGGTTGTGAGCCACCATGTGGTTGCTGGGAATTGAACTTAGGACCTTTGGAAGAGCAGGCAATGCTCTTAACCGCTGAGCCATCTCTCCAGCTCTAATTCCTTGTTTTAAACTGAGCACCACTTGCCGAGCGGTGGTGGTGCATGCCTTTAATCCCAGCACTTGGGAGGCAGAGGCAGGTGGATCTCTTTGAGTTCAAGAACAGCCTGGTCTACAAGAGCTAATTCCAGGGGGCTCCATTTGTGAAGAATTCAGAGGAGAAGGGTGTGTCACTGGGGGTGGACTTTGAGGTTTCCAAGACTCCTGTGATTCCCAGTGCTCAGTGTGCCTCTTGCTTGTGGATCAAGATGTGAGCTCTCAGCTGTTCCTTCCCTCCGCCATCATGGCCTCTAAGCCCCTGAAACCATAAGCTGGATTAAACACTTCTTTTTATAATGTACCTGAGTCATGGTGTTCTATCATAGCATTAAAGAAATAATTAAGATACTCGGTTATTTCTGGCTCAGGTAATTCAAAAAACAATTGTAGTTACTGAATCAGAAATGCATAAAAAATTGATTTATTCTGAAAGACTACTTAAGAGAAAAGTGCTTCCGTCAGAAAAACACAAAATACGATTTTTAAGACAGCAATGAAATACTTAGGTTTAAGAACACAAACATGTCAAAGGAATCGAGCTGCGACCTGCCCGTGTGTCACTGCAGGGCTCTTAGCCTGGAGTCTAGGTGGCTCAGATCTTCCTGGGGTGTTTGGGTTTGCTCAGGAATCCCCAGTCTTGACTTCACTCCACTCACAGAAAGTGGCCACCTTGTTTCTCCCGCGCCTTCTCCTTTGAGGTAGCTGTCCCGCCAGAGTGGAGAGTAAAGCTGTGGACAACAGAGAACGACTCTGAAGGGCCGGTTCTGGTCACCATACAAGACCTGCTTCCAGGGCTGCTGGGAACCATGGAAGACACGGGGAGCCCAAAGCAGGGCTCTCCCAGCGTAATTTCAAGGAGACGCAGAGCGAACAAAGTCCACGCTGACACAGCAGGCCGCTGCTCTGCAGTGGGCTCTAAAGGTTTATGAGCTGACTCTCCTGCCTGTAAACCACAGCAGACAACCAGATGCACAAAAGCACCGAGGAAACTCAGCCCTGGGTGGCCGAGGGTAAAACATGGAAGGCAGCTGTGAGATGCCAAGTGGGTAGAGACCCAGCATGGAGTGCGGAGAGGCGTCCCTCCTCAGGGGTGAACAGGGCATTCTGCAGAAGGGTAAACCAGTAGCAGCTGGAGTGTGGACACATGGGATGGACGCACCAAGTGTCAGGCAGCAGGCAGGGCCCAGCACTGGTCAGAGCAGAGGGATCTAGGGCTAGAATTCCAGTGCCAGCAGGGAAGCAGGTCTGAGAAGCAGACCATGAGGGACACAGATACAGTGGCTCCTGTGAAGTCTAGGCCTGTGGACCCAGGGTGTGGAAAGGGGAGGCAAGGAAAGCTGCAGCTTAGGCAGAATGTCCAGAAAAGAGCTGTATACACACGTACACAGAGAAAGGACAGGTCCAGCAGCAACACCTCCAAGACCCAGAAGGATGGAAGATGAACTGTCTCACAGCACAGCAGGAGGCAGGGGTTGTACCACAGGACTTGTGAGGGTCTGAGAGCTCCACATGCAAGATGACATGGACCGAAGCAGGAATGGGCAGGACTATATCCCTGTCATGGGTTCTGCATTTCTTCAATCTAGGATCTTGCTTCCTCAAGTGGAGGAATGGGACCCACAGGTCAGAAGCAGTCCCAAAGGGAGTTGCACACAGCAGAAAACAAGACAAGAGAAGGAAGGAATACCATGGATGACAGAAGAGGGCTTTGCAATGAAAAGCTGAAGGAACCTATAGCTACTGCACTCTCAACACAGGGAGGCAGTGTGGCTGAGAAGTGGGGAGGGTTCGGGTCCTTAGACTGGATAGTTCTCAGAGGCCACTGGGTCCTGCTGAGATCACATGACCAGCGGAGATCACCCATTCAAGAATCTTGAACCTTGTGTAGACACAGGGCCAGGAGGCAGGGTAGAAGGCAGGAAATGTAAGTATTTCGAGGGCCTGGCAGAGACCCACTCAGCGGCTTCCTTCAGGGTTCGTGTGTGGTTGAGAGCTGCAGGACAGTCAGAAGTAGAGGGAATCTGGAGGGGAAGAGACTGGGAGACAGGAGTTAAGGGACGGAAGGAGAGGAGCAGCTAGACAAGGCAGCGGCCAGCTATCACTGGATGGATAGAGTCAAGAGAAGAACACGGGCGCAGCCACCCAGTGCTGGAGAAAGAGCCTGGAGCAGAGGGATGTGAGGGAAGAGGCCATGGGCAGCACCAGCTCAACCACACTACTCTGCTATCTAGTGGTGTTGAAATAGGAGCGGCAGGGCTGCGTCCCCGGCACCTGGCCGCCCGCATGGCTAGTTTATACCCAGAAATAATTACACAGAAACTGTATTCTTTCAAACACTGCCTGGCCCGGATAGGTCCAGTTACTTATTGGCTAGCTCTTACATATTGTTCTAACCCATTTCTAATATTCTGTGTAGTCCATGAGCTGGCTTACCAGAGAGGATCTTAACCTGCGTCTGTCTGGAGTGGGAGCATCATGGCGACTCTTCCTCTAACCTTCTTTCTCCCAGAATTCTCTTCTGTCTACTCCGCCTACCTAATTTTCTGTCCTATGAGGGCCGAGGCAGTTTCTTTATTATTACAAGACCCACCTCCATCATTTCCCCTTTTTCTGTTTAAACAAAAAAAGAAAGGCTTTAACTTTAACATAGTAAAATTACATATAACAAAACAGTTATCAAGTAAGAATTACAGTTACAATATTTATATCTAATTTATCTCTTACCATAACTAAGGAAAACTATAACTATTCATTCTTCAACTCTATCAAAGACTCCAGAAGGATATAATATTACCTAAGCAAATAAGAAATAAACGAAAGAAATAAACGACAGAGACATCTTGCTGCCTGGACAGTCACCCAAAGTTCTTTTGTACCGTTGGGGCATCCATCTTCGGCCTACAGGCCCATAGTTTCCAGCAGACATTTTCATCAAGTAGGGAATTCCAAAGACAGTTCAGTCATTTTCTGCTGTGTCCTGCAGAATGTCTCGCAGACTCTTTCATGAAGCAGGAACCCCAAAAGACCATCTCACCTTTAGGCAAGTTCAGCAGTCCTCTCTCTGCGGGTTCTCTGTGTCCAGTTTATGTAACAGTCCAGGCAAGAGCAGTTTCTTGCCCAAATGACTATCCAACTCCATAAGGATCCTCTTCGATGCCCACCTTCCTCTTGAAGTTTCCCACATCATAGTGGAAAAGGACCATGTCTGACAGGATTTTCGTGGGATCCCATCCCACGGCAGTGTCCAGGCACGACACTGCCGTGTCCTCAACTCCCAGCAGCTACGCATGTGAGATAGGCCTATACTCAGGCATGGGAGAGGTTCACAAGGCCCCATCCCTCGCCAGGATGCACCAGGAGACTTCCCTGGGTGGTACAGATGCCTAGGAAATTGACGTGTTCCTATCAGTGATCCCGATTCCCGGAATTAGACTTGGGTGGAACCATTTCTTTGGTTTGTTGATGGTGCCTCCTGTGGAGTAAGTAGCTATGTTAACTAAGAGACCAGCTGTTTCTAGTACCTTCAGAAGTCCTGAGGCTTGTAGACTGCACAGTCGCTGCCCACATCCCACTCCATCCTCTGGAAGAAGCAGACCATGGCGCTCTCCAGCAGCAAGCCACTCAGCACGGCCAGCAGGGACAGCCTGCGGCTGGTGTTCAGAGTCACTAGGAAACAAAGGCAGCAAGGTGTCCTAGGAACTCCCGAGACACGACAGCAGGGCCTGTGTGCTGCATGGTGCTGAGCTAAGGAACCCACCCTGCCCTACAGGTCCTGAAATGAAGTCTCTGTTTCTAACACCAGTGCCAAGCTCTTCTCAAGCAGAGGCAGAAGCCCATGAAATAAGAGAATAAATCTAGGTGTGGCGGTGCCTGTCTGTAATCCCAGCACTTAGAAGGTTCATATAGGTGGACTGCACTGAGTTTAAGGGCAGCCGGGTCTGGTAACTGTGTGCAGGCACGTTCTCCTCACAGCCCCTTAAAGCCATTCAAGTGGAGGTAACAAAAGGCTGATGCCTGGCCCACGGGAGGGACGATGTGCGTGAATCTGCTCTGAACATGTAGCTAAGGCTGAACTGGATGATCCAAGTGTCTACTGTGTGTCCTCAGGACCAACACGGGTCTGTGGAGAGCTCATGTTCTGAAACTCTGACGCCCCGGGGCCAGGACCTCAGCCTTCCATAACGGCTAGAAGCTGACATGTCTAATGAAAGGGCACACTCACCTCTGATGGCCTGGAAATTCGATGTCAGGACAAACACTTTGATGAGCTTGAGGCACAAGGGTGTGTAGTCGTGCTCCCAGATGACGGCCGGGATGAGCAGGAGCTTCCCATAGCTGGACAGCAGCAGTGCTTTCAGGAGCAGGACGAAGTTGGGCTTCTTCTCTGCTGTCGTGGGCTGCTCTACCCATAGGAATGCAAAAATGCCAGCAAAAAAGGCAGCTTGTTCTGTGGAGCAAATGAGGGAAATAGAGATGTCCCACCCATTCTAACCCCTGGAAAGCAAAGAAAACCTATTTCCAACTCAGCAGATGTCCTAAGAAACACCTTCATAATATTTTCTTACACACGCACACACACAAGCACACATGCACACACAGACACACACAGGCTTTGTGTTAAATCCTGCTGGCATGATTTAAGAAATACACTTCAATAGGTTTTAGTTTCCCTTTTTCTCTTTGGGCTGGGGCTGGGCACTGGTGCCTTGCTACAGTGACACCCCCCCCCCCCCCCCCCCCCCCCCCCCGCCCCCCCCCCCCCCGCCCCCCCCCCCCCCCCCCCCCCCCCCCCCCCCCCCCCCCCCCCCCCCCCCCCCCCCCCCCCGCGCCCCCGCAGTTGGTCTCAAAACTTCTGACCTTACTGCATCTCTAAGTTCTGGGATCAGCCAGGCAGTGGTGGCACACACCTTTAATCTCAGCACTCAGGAGGCAGAGGCAGGTGGATCTCTGTGAATTAGAGGCCAGCCTGGTCTACAGAGCGAGTTCCAGGACATCAAGGACTATACAGAGAAACCCTCTTTCAAAAAACAAAACAAGGGGGTTGGAGAGATGGCTCAGCGGTTAAGAGCATTGCCTGCTCTTCCAAAGGTCCTGAGTTCAATTCTCAGCAACCACATGGTGGCTCACAACCATCTGTAATGAGATCTGGTGCCCTCTTCTAGCCTTCAGGCATACACACAGACAGAATATCGCATACTAAATAAATAAATAAATATTAACAAAAAAACCCAAAACAACAAACAAAAACAAAACAGTTCTGGGATCCAGATGTGAGCCAGCAGTCCTGAGAAGGCTTTCCTTTAAAGCCTGGACTCATGTTGTGTTTTACTCTTGGGTTGGATGAAATGCTTGAGCTTTCTTTTCTAAGGTTTATTTTACTTTTAATTATCTGTGCGTGTCTATGTGTGGGTATATATGTGCCAGTGTCTGTGGAGGCCACCTGAAGTTGGGTTACAGGTAGCTGTGAGACACCCTCTATGGGTGCTGGAAACCAAACTCTGGTCCTCTGCCAGACCTGCACAAGCTCTGAGCCACCGAGCTCTCTCTCCAGTCCCCTCAAGTATTTTTTCAGTATTACTATCTCTAAGATATACATGTTAATAAATCCTGTATATTTCAAGTTTTAATTTAACAGACAATAAACATTCACATTAAGTTTTCGTTTTTCTTTGAAGACAGAGTTCTCTGTGAAACAATTCTGGTTATCCTGAAACTCGCTCTGTAGACCGGGTTGGCCCCAAACTCATAGAGATCCACCTGCCTCTGCCTCACGGCGTGCTCCACCACCGCCCAGCTTTCACATTAAATTTTAAAGTTGCAATGGAATCCAAATTATATCTTAATTACAGACCAAATATGTATTATGATTATTAAAACAGTCATAAATCCAAGTAAAGAAACCACAACCCACCCTGGATTCTAACCTGCAAAGGAGAGAACATCAGTGTTTTGTGTTTTTCACTGATGCCCTCCAGTCCACTACATGCACACAGAATAGTTTTTATACAAGGCAGTGATGCTGGACGGTGAGTGACCCCAGTCTAACCGAGACACGTGCTCAGACTGGACTGTACGCCCAGCTGTATGCAATCCTTCATTTAGCTATCAGACAAATGTCTACCGAGCAGTCATGACAGGCCAAACACTCATTGGGTTTAATGTAAGTAGGCGAAGGCAAATCAGTTAATAATAATAATAACCACAGCACGTGTGTTAGATGGGATAGTGTGCACAGCGCAGATCAGTAGTAAATAGGGCTACCAGGAAGACGTGTTATCAGGATAAGTGTCACCAAGATGAGATTGAAGCCAAGACCTCAGAGATATGAGGAAGTCAGACATGGGGACATCATGGACACGTGCTGGAGACTCACTGAATGTGCCAAAAGCAGCTGGGTTAGAGTGGGCTGGAGTGCTGGCAGAAGGTGCAGTGAGATCCATGGGAGGAAGGGGCTGGTCCAACTGTGAAGACTGCCAGTATACAGAAAGCAGGGAAGAGCTACCTATGTGGGCTCTAGGCTTATCAGAAAGGGAACATTTTGTATGAAGAGACCTTGCGGTATAGCATCAGGTCTGAGCCATTTATTCTAACTTGTAGAAAGTCCCAGCCGGATCTGGAGGCAATGGGAAGCAGGTGTAGAACTACTCTGAAGGTAGAATAAATGAGGCTTTCAACGACTAAACAGAGCTCCAAAGAAAGAAGTTTCAGGCTGGACCCCAAGGCCTTTGATCTTGACAACCTGCAGTGGGAGGCTGTGGGCAGAGGCAGAGTAAGACCAGGCTTAGAGATGGCAACTTACTAGCTGTCCAGCAGGGCTGGTAAGAAGCAGGCAGACACAGAGTCCAGAGTCAGGAGAAAGGTCTAGGTCAGACGTGGATACCTACCTGGGAGTTCTGAGCAGATCCACGAGATGCAAGGGAGGGCAGGGATGATGGCAGACAGAGAGGACAAAAGAGGGCAGATGGTCTAGAATAAGATGTGGAAGGTACCACACTCAGAGACTTCCTGAAACAGTGAAATCAGCTGAAGGGCTATTTTGAATTTATTTTTAAGATGGAATCTTACTGTGTTGCCCAGACTGGCCTCAAAGCTTCTGGGTTCTAGCAACTCTTCTGCCTTAGCCCCTAGAGTAGCTGGGAGCACAGGTGCCTGCCACAGCCTGGCCTAAGCCAGAGGCCTCTGAGGCAGAGAAGGATGAAAACTAAAATGTTGTCACAGACAGGAACTCAGTGCAATTTGGACCTTGGCAAGAAAGCCAGGATTTCAATTTCAATGAGATGCTTCCCACACACAGGTAAGTTTGGGGGTTGTTTGATTCCTTGGATATAGTCCCACAAGCAGCAAACTTACTGCCAGACATCTGCATGAAGCAGTTAGCCTAATGCACTGGGAAACAGCAGGCAGTTATTAATGTGTCCTCAGTGAGAGGACCTGACGTAATCTTCAAGAACTTAAAAACAGTTTAGAGTATTTCACAAAATGTCCTAGTTTGATCAGCACACTGTTATTATCTCTCTACCAAATTTTTAAGACAAAGTAAGCAGGTGATTCAGATTCCCCGAGGAGGTTAATCAGAGCTGAAGATGTGGTCTCCAGTCCTGCACTAACTGTCTTACCGTGTGTCTTAGCTTCACTCAGAGCAATGAGCTGCTGGTTAGCACTCGCTTACCGAAAGAAGCAATCACAAACATCCTGTAGAAATCCCACTCCTTGGCATAGCGGATCAAGTCATCGGGGGCTGTGCTCTGGCTTGAGTCTTGCAGCTGCCACCACCTCAGGTATGCTTCACAAAGCAAACAAAACATGCAGAGTTTCCCATGGATCTGACAGTCAAAGACAGTGTCCTCGGGTCAGGTAAAGCATTCGGCTGACTGCACGCCGACAGGCACACTGCAGGTAAGCAGCTGTAGGGCTTATTCTCCTTTCTGAGATTAGTCTTGCTGTGTAGCCAAGGCTGGTCTGACATTTCAGAGAGCCCTCCTGCCTCAGCCTTCCGAGTGCTAAGACTATACATGTGCGCACGTTCACTCAGTAGTTGTACCAAGAATGCCCCATGTGGATTTTCCAGTGTTATTAACTGGTTAATTGCATTAGTTACGTAAGTCAGAAGTTCTTAACTAGCAGTGTCTATTGGAACCTCACAAGGAATTCCAAACTTGACCATCAGAGACCCAGTCTGGGGTCAGCTTTTTAGGAGTAAGACGTGGATAGACGAATTTTGCTGAATTCCTGGGGAGACCCTATGTGCATTCCTATAGGGATATGGCTTTTAACAGTCAGCTTTCATCCGCACACAGCCAAATACAACATATACGTGGCTGACACCGGTGGAAAAGTCACAAGAGAATCAATCTAATCGAAAGCTTTTTTTGTTTGTTTGTTTTTCCAAGGCAAGATTCTCTGTGTAGTCCTGGCTTTCCTGAAACTCACTGTGTAGACCAGGATGGCCTTGAATCCACCTGCCTCTGTCTTGAGTGTTGGAATTAAAGGTGTGCATCACCATGCCCAGCTAATCTAAAGATTTGAGAACACCACATAACTATTAGTCTGAACAGGAATTAAAACACACACACACACACACACACACACACACACACACACACACACACAAACAACAAAGCCTTTGGGCTGAATGAGTATTAGGAAAGAGAAAAATACATATGGTAGAAATGGGTTGGAACCTCTTAAGGTGCTAACATTTTTACTGAATTAGAAAACACTGCGTGGTAAGAATGGGCCTTTCTCTCTTTTTTTTTTTCCCCCTTCTTACTGTGCGACCCACTCCAGTGCCAGTAGCCTACAGGCAGAGGCCAGGCAATGGTTCGGGGCCGCAGCTTGCTCTAGCATGGGACACTATGATGAATGGGCCTTTCTCAACCTGATGATCTTTCCTGCAAACAGCTTTCTCCAGTAAGTTACCATGGGTACGAGAAAGCACATGGGAATCTGAGCTGAACAAGTCCCAGGGCCTGAGGCTCCTCAGCTGGCACACAGGTCCTCTGGTTGCACTCTAGAAGCATCTGGGAAGGGGTGTAGGCCATCCACAAAGATGTTGGGGAGTGTTACTTCAAGATGTGTTACTTTTGTTTATGTTGCATTTGTTTAACTCTGTGAGGCTGTGTTACTGTGCCTGTCTACAACACCTGATGGGCTAATAAGGAGCTGATTGGCCAATAGCGAGGTAGGAGAGAGGAAAAGGAGGGGCTAGCAAGCAAAGAGGATAAATATGAGAAATTTGGGAGAAAAGGATCTGACAACTAGAGAGGAAGGAGAAGGAATTCAGAGGCCAGCCACACAGCTACAGTCAGACATGAAGTAAGAAGACAAGAAAAGGTATACAGGAATAGAGAAAGAAAAAAGACCCAAGGCCAAAGAGAGATGGAATAATTTAAGTTAAAAGCTGGCAAGAAAGAAGCCAAGCTAAGGCCGGGCATTCATAACTAAGAATAAGACTCCATGTGTGATATATCTGGGAGCTGGGCCCCCCAAAAAGTGAAAAGACTAAAGAGCCAAAAGAGAAAAACATCACACAACACAAAGATGCTGAGCTGGCCTGTGGAGGTCTCTTGCACCCCACCCAGGAATTTTCAGTGTGTAAGCAAGCTTGAAAAATCAACACTCTGGTCACTTTAAAGGCCTTGTTTGAGCTGGAGAGATGGCTCAGTGGTTAAGAGCACTGACTGCTCTTCCAGAAGTCCTGAGTTCAGTTCCCAGCACCCACAAGGTGGCTCCCAGCCATCTGTAGTGGGGTCTAATGCCCTCTTCTGGCCTGCAGGCACACATGCAGCTAGAGCACTCATCACATATAAATATCTTTTTTTTTTTTTTAAAAGACCCTGATTATTTGAGGGGCAGACTACTGTGCTGTCTACTTCTACCCAAACCTAGTGGTGTCACATTAAGCAAATAAGAACATATGCCCAATTAAATTTGAATTTTAGATTCACAGCAAATAATCTGTCTTAAGTATATTCCATGCAATAATTGAGATAGACTGAATGCTAATAAAAATTTAAACTACCACAACTTACATTTATTTTAGTGTTGAAAAGAATATGCCTATAGGCCTGAGCTTTGCACAAAATGGCATTAATCAAGATAATAACAGGATCATACTCAATGTATTTGTCTACTGGCTTCTGGCAAGATTTCTGAAAAAGAAAACAAAGTAATATCAGAGCAAATAAATTAATACATTCTAAAATTTTAAAGAACTTAAAAGTCCATTTCCGACTTCCCCAATGACAAGTGTATAAGCATCTATTTAAAATCCTGTTTAAAAATGCTCACCCATGTAAGAAGTGGCTTCACAATGACAAAATATTAGCTTTTAGCTAAAATAGTAATATTTTAAATTTATATTCAAGAATCCAAAAAGAAAGCCAGATGTGGTAACACATAGCTGTAACCCCAGCATTAAGGACACAGAGGCAGGAGGAGCCCGAGTCTGAGGTCAGCATGCACTGACTAGGGAGATCCTGCCTCAAGACCAAAACAAAACAGAAAATAATATCAGAAAAGAATTTGATTTAAAGACCCACGGCAGGCACAAAGTATTTCAGAAGACTCTTTCAATTCCACTTTTGGTTTGTATGATTTTGTAAAAAGCAAATTACCGACACACTGGCTGACAGGCTGTGGTATAGACTGTGGCTCAGAATTTGGAGGAAGGTGTTCAACAAAGTTCCTATCTCTAGCTTCTGAGCCACAGATGGATCAAGATCAATCAGGGCACAATGTCCGCGACCCAAAGCCTGGAATTTTCTCCAATGAGATCAAGAACCTGGGAAACACACACACACACACTTTCTCTCTCTCCTACCACAGAGACAGTGGAGAGTACTGTGCTGTGCATGAACTCGGGTTGTACAGCCTGGGCCTATGTCACACAAATCAAGACTCCCTCAGCTTCCAAAGAGGACATTCTGAAAGGCTGACAGGATAAGAGTTCTCTTATTTCAGTTTCTACTGAAATAATAATAACAGGCACACAAATATACCAGGATCACCTTTTAGTTACATCAAAACCTAGAAGGAAAGCCAAGTGCATTGGAGGGCTGTCACCCTGTACTTCAACACAATAAAACAGATTCTCTACTTAACTCACGCCATTGTAAGAAATAACATGTTTTCCCAGGTACCAGGTCAAACAGTAGTTGTGCTACTCCCTCAAATGTGAGTCTATCTGTCAAAATGGAGGCACAGAGGTTCATATTTTTTTAGATTACCTGAGCAAAGACTGAGTTAAAGATTAACCACAAACTCAGGACAAAAGCTCTTTCCCAGATCCCCCTTCCTTTGCCTGTCTCCTCCCCTCACATGAGGCTCAAGCCCAGAGATGCAACATTATTGTTTAAAAAAAAACTGTTAAGGTGGTAAGTCCCTTTCTAAATCCCACTTTCAGAAAGCACCCCAAACTTAGATTAGGAGTCAGATAATTTTTGGAAGCAGGAGGGGAAAGCCGGAATCAGGACACACAGCTCCTATTCCTTCGGTATCCTGTGTTAGGCTCATGCCCATGCAGTGATATTAGGAAATCACAAGAGCTCTCTCCATCTCAGAGCTTCATGGGCCCCAAGAATTAATTACCTGGCCTCACTATTTTCGCCCCTCAGGGTTAGAAGGGGAAGAAAGCAAGCCACCATGCCATCTGAAGGATGCTGGTGACCTGAAACCAAAGAGGTTACTTCTAGTACCAGGTGATATGCTGTGTGCTGTCCAGCCTCCTTCACAGCACCCCACAGATAGGAACCTCGCTTCAGTCAGCTGATCTCCAACACTGGGACTGCTTGCCATCCCCTCAGCGCCCCCTCTACTCTTTCCTCTTGCCTTCGGTTTGAACAGAAGAAGGAAACACCACACACACACACACACACACACACACACACACACACACAGGGCAGAACAACTATCTGGAAGTTTACTACTTTTAGTAAAAAACAGAAAAACTTGAGGTAGGGTTTCTAAGCCAGACTGTCCTCAAAATCATTGTGTAGGGGACAGGAGAAATGGCCCAGTGGTTAGGAACACTTATTGTGCTGTTCTGGCAGGGACCTTGGGTTCAGCTACCAACAGAAACACACGCACACACCCGCAAACAGCTTTGAACTTCAGGTCCTTCTGTCTCCACCTCCCAAATGCAGGATTACAGGTGTGCACCCCCATGCCTCATGGGTCCATGTAGTGGAGCTGGAATCTAAGATTTCACGCACTTGGGCCAAGCAAGCACCCTACCAACTGAGCAACATCCCTGGCGGTAGGGAATGGTTTCTATTTTGGTTAAATTGTTCCATTCGGTACATTTACTATTTCATTGACAAGTACCCTGAGAAGACACAGGAGAAATCTCTAGAGCACCAGTCCTGAAACACTGGTTCCACCTCCTCAGGCTCAACATGAGAATGAAAAGCTTCCCGCTACAGGGCCTACTTTTACCCTAGGGAATCACATCTCTCTCCATTCATTCGAGACAGGGTCTCTCAGGGTAACCCAGGCTGGCGTCGAGTTCGCGATCTACCTCCTGCCAGGCATGCGAGCGGAATGCTGGAGTCGCAGAAATGCGTTAGCACTCCCGGGGGTCATAAGTCTAGTTAACGTCCTCGTGAACCCCCTGCTTTCTCTTTCCCACCATCATACGCGCCTCGCCCCCAACCACCGGGCGTTAGGGTTCGCCTCCCTGGCCGCGCCCCGCCCCCGGCGCGCTCACGCAGATGGTTATCTTGAGTACGCCGTGGCTGTAGTCTCGGTACAGCTCCCGGGCCTCCCGGTTGCACTCGATACAACGGTACAGGCAAGGGGAGGCAGCCGTCGCCGCGCCCTCGGTGCCCTTCCCGGACCGCGTCCCTCTACGCCCGCCCGTCCCCATGCCTTCAATACAGCCTCTACTTCCGGTCTCTGGCGGAAGTCACCTTCACTAGACCTGGAAAGGCGCGCGCAGGGGCTTCCTGGGACTTGTAGTGCGGATGCTGGCTGCGTGCTTGAGGCTGAGAGGACGCGGACTACGACTCCCGGGGGGTACTGCGGTCGCGCGCCGCGCCCACCTGCCCGCGGCTGGCAGAGCGCGGCCGCGCCTGCGCCGTGCAGGAAGATGGCACCTGCCGGCCGCGGTTGCGGCTGCTGGGGCGGCTCGGGCGCCGGGGTGGTGCTGTGGCTGCTGCTGTTGCTGCTGGGGGCGCTGGCCTGCGCGCGGGCCACCGAGCACTATTCTCCGCTGTCCTTGCTGAAGCAGGAGCTTCAGCACCGGCAGCAGCAGGAGGCCCCGGCGGGCGGCGGCTGCCCGCAGTCGGGGGACTGGGCGGACCAGTACCCGGAGTGCGGTGAGTGGGCCGGGCTGCCCTCTCCCCGCGGCCGCCCCTGCCCAGCGTGGAAGAACCTGGGAGGTGGAGAGAGCGGGGATGGGCTCAGGCGGGCGATGGGGACGCGGAGCCGTGCTGGCATGGGCCAGGAAGTCCGACTTCCTTTCTGCCTGCCTGGGTGGGTGTCTCGGGCTCAGTCCTCACCCCAGGAATCCAACCCTGAGAGGTACAAGCCATTTGGGTCTGCAGGGTGACATCAGCACTGGCCTGTGCCACTCAGATGTACCTCCGAGGGTGGCGCCTCAGATCTGGATCCTGGGTACTTTGCAGCCACTCGGGCTCATTCATTGAAGTAAAGCGCTGTAGACCTGTAGAATAAATCATGGAAGACAACGCTGGGCAAAATACACATACTCGTTTTCCGTCTTGAGTTGTACACTGGGCATTTTTTTTTTTACCCGTCAGTACCCTCCTCACCATCCTTTCCCCTCTGTGCATTACCCTACTAGCACCTGGCTTTTAAGACTCCCCTCTGGTTAGCACCTTATGCCTGCCCAATCACTACCCAATGTCTTGGCTGAGATGAAATCTCAAGATGAGCCCAATCTGATTTTCTTTAACTACCATCTGGCTTGGATAAAGTCTCAGTTACCGACAGCGACTTATTGTGACTTTTTTGTGGTCTGCCGTGTCTGCCAACAGCATGGTTGGTGTGAACTTAGTGAAACGAATGGCCCTTGTAAGTGTCACCTCTGAGTCTGAGCAAAGGAGTTACCACTCTGCGAATTTGTCTGTAAATCGGAGATCCTGTTTACTTGAATGCGAGGTTTTATTTTCCTCATTTAGCCTTGTTAGTTTGGTGGGTTAATTGACCATGAAAGCAGTAGTCACCCTGTTGGATGGCAGCTCCTTATCTCAGAAGGGAAAACTGAGGCATGAAAGAAAGAAACTAGTTCCAAAGCCTCGGCTGTAGAAGAATAAAGAATACTGCTGCAGGCGGCTGTTGCTTTGCATTTTCTGTTTTTGAGAAAGGGTCTCTCTGTAGCTCAGGCTGGCTTTGGACTTACATTTACTATGATCCCTCTGCTTTAGCCCCGCCAATGCTGGGATCACAAGTGTGAGCTACCATACTCAACTTTGCAGACAGGTTTTTGTCTTAACTGCCAAGTGGTTGTAGGAAATGTCTCTTAATCTGTTTCTCTTGATCCTGTACAATTATATGGAAATTGAACCCTGTGATGTCTCCTTAGGTACCTGTCTTAGACTCGGGACAAATTCAGAACAAGCAACTAGGGCTGCAGAGATGGCTCAGAGGTTAACAGCTCTGGCTGCTGTTTCAGAGGTCCTGAGTTCAATTCCCAGCAACCACATGGTGGCTCACAACCATCTGTAATGAGATCTGGTGCCCTCTTCTGACATACAGGCATACATGCAGGCAGAACATTGTATACATAATAAATAAATAATTCTTTTTTTTTTTTTTTTGGTTTTTCGAGACAGGGTTTCTCTGTGGCTTTGGAGCCTGTCCTGGAACTAGCTCTGTAGACCAGGCTGGTCTCGAACTCACAGAGATCCACCTGCCTCTGCCTCCCTAGTGCTGGGATTAAAGGCGTGCGCCACCATCGCCTGAATAAATAATTCTTAAAAAAAAAAAAAAAAAAAGAACAAGCAATTAAGCCTGTCATAGCCTACTTCAGTACCACCAACACAATGACCCACGTAATGACCTACTCTTGATGATGTCCAAACTGATCAGGTCTCTGAACTCCTTCAGGTCTGACCTCACCATGAGGGCACTTTTGCTCTTACCATGGTCACTTAACTGCCTGCCACATCAAGCCAGACTCTAGACTTGGGGTCTAGACTTGGGGCAAAGAGCAGTGTGACTGTCCCTCAGAGTTGTTCTCAGATTCAGGTTGCTGAGGTGCTGCCTGCTTGGTGTGTGTCTTTAGCTGGTGAGCCGTCTCGTAGTTGTCCTCTTACGGCCGAGCCTCCAGCGGTGGAAGGTGCACAGGCCTCTAGTGTGAGCCTCGTAGCCTGGAGGTGTCTGTCAGCGACTGGCTGGCCTACCAGGTCCCAGGGAATCTACATCCTCAGACCTACAAGCACGCTATGTGTCTCTGCCCTGGGTTTACGTGTTTCCCAGCTTAAAGTGATATTTTGGCTTCCGGTACATTTTTATGTTTCTTACTGAAAATAATTTATAATATTTATGATCTTATTTTCCCATGAAAAAATAACATTAAAAAATGTATGTCTTTATGTCTTTGTTGGGGTGGGGGTGGTATCTGTGGATGGATATTCACTGAGGTCAAAAGGGGGCACCAAATCCCCTGAAGCTGGAGTTACAGGTGGTTGTGAGTGCTGGGAACCAACGTGGATCTTAACCACTGGGCCATCTTCAGCCCTGAGAAAACAATCTTACTCTTTGAAAAGAGAAGAAACCATCTGGTGTATTATTTGTTTCTGCTTTTTGTTTCTTTTTCTGCTTTGTTTTGCATGTGACTTGGTACACTAATTTAAGCTAGCCTGGGGTGGAATTCAGTGTGTAGCTCAGACTGTCCTTGCGTTTGTGACTGTCCGTGCTGAGAATAAAAGCATGAGCCATCAAACCTGAACATTTTATTTTTAAAATAAAAGTTAAGCCGGAAGTTGGTGGCTTATGCCTTTAATCCCAGTACTCGGGAGGCAGAGACAGGTGGATTTCTGTGAATTTAAGGCCAGCCTGGGCTACATCGTGAGTTCCAGGACAATAGCACTGTTCCACAGAGAAACCCTGTCTCAGAAAATAAATAAATAAAAAGTTAAAACTTTTTCTTATTCCTATGGCCCTGTTTTTAATTTATAGTTGTGGGAGGTAATACTGAATGAAGCCTTTCCCCAAGTCTCTTCCCTGTGTGTTACATAAATCTCTGTGCCTTTGGTTGACACTGCACTAAGTAGTGTTTATTGCCCTTTTACCCAAGAGGAAACTGAGGCCGAAAAACCCAAGCAAGGTTACCCTGCAAGGAGTAGAGCCCAGATTTGGTATTAATTTGATTTTGGAATATAGACTCAATAGTTTCTTACATATTAGTATAATTTCTATAAGTCTTATGCCTTCAGCTTGTTGAAAGTTGTGTTTTTTGTTTGTTTTTGTTTTTTGAAACAGGGTTTCTCTGTATGGCCCTGGCTGTTCAGGAACTCGCTCTGTAGACCAGGCTGGCCTCGAACTCAGAGATCTGCCTTCCCCTGCCTCCCAAATGCTGGGATTAAAGGCTTACGCCACCATCACCCAACTTGAAACCTGTATTTTAAAATAACACCTAGGATTTCAGATTTTGCCTGTGTGTTGGAATGCTTCACTGATCCACCGGAAGACTGTGTGTGTGTGTGTGTGTGTGTGTGTGTGTGTGTGTGTGTGTGTACCAGTGTGTACCAGGCATTGCTGAACGTGCTGGGCCTTAACGACCTGACTGAGTCCCTTGTGGGGAGTTGATAAGGAACACAGAGCGTAGACTCAGAGACACCAGCCTGGAGGAAGGAAGCTGAGCGGTGGGAAGGAGTGGGGTCCCACATAGGTGCTGTTGTGCAGGCAGCCAGGCAGGATCTGGTGCTGACAGCGAGCTCTGGAGGGGGTAACCTTGAGCACAACCTAGATATGGCTCCACCTGACTCCTCTGTTTGATGGGTCCAGTAAATTAGGTTCTCTCAGTTAACACTTGCCCACTAACTGAAGAATTCGGGTTTCCTGCTTTTCCCACAAGCCTCTGTTGTGTGTCACTCAAATGAAGCATTTGGTTAGTGCTAATGACCTCTCAGTTCTTTATAGCCACCCGAAGCTACATTTTAGTAACCCACATGCATTTCTACTAATTTGCAGAATGCTCTTGGTTCCCTTTCTTTGCAGTAAGTGGACTGATGAGCTAAGGTGAGGCTCCCCCCCCCTCCACGCCCCTTTTCTTTTGAGACAGCAAGTCACACATCCCAAGCTGGTCTTCAGCGCTCTGGACGGCAGAGTATGACTTTGAACTCCTGATCCTTCTTCCTCTGCTTCCCAAAATGCTAGGATTACAGCTATGTGCCACCACACCGGGTGGGGTTTTTTTGTGTTTTTGTTTTGTTTTGCAGTGGTGGGCTTTGTGCTGGCAAGCACTTTACCAGCTGAGCCACCTCTCAACCCTTATGTGAAGTTTTTAAGTGTCAGGCTGGTTGTTTCTAGGTGACAGTCTTGTACTTGATGTCTGATTTCAAAGAGGTACCTCCATCTGATGGATTGGTGACTTTAGCACGATCCCCATTGAATACTGCACTCTGAATGATAGCTTGTATCCTTAAGTATGGTAAGCTTGTTGGGATAAATAATCCCAGAATTGAGCCAGTGAGATAGCCCACTGGGTAAAAGTACTTGCTGTCAAGCTGGGCTTGAGTTCAGTCTCAGGAACCATATGATGGAAGGAGAGAACTGGCACCTTTAGTTGACCTCTGACCTCCATATGAACACATAGTACACACTTACCCACATATACTCACTAATGATTGTTTTAAAAAATTTCAGCCTTAGAATTGAGGTTATTTTTCCATAGTTTTTTTTTTTTT